TCTGTAGGATCAAATTGAATTAAAATATAAATGTAATACAGACTACTTAGATTTTATTAATTTATATTTTATTCCTGACCCTTGATGTTGTTTTGAGATAAATTATCTGCTACGAATGTCTATGAATTTAATACTGTTGCAGTTAGATCAATTTTATAATTTCTGAAACACTCTAAACCCTGAAGTCATATTTTCATTGCTTTAACTAAAGGCTAGTCCTTAATCCAAGTCAACATTAATTCTATACCTACTAAATAGTGGTTGTCTATATAAAAATCTATATTCCCTTAAGTTATATTTAATTTAAATTATCAATAATAATTATTCCAACAAGATAGGATATTAATTATATTCACAGGGTTAACTAAAATCTTTTTTTTAATTGGTAGTTTTATAAGAAAAAAAATATACAGAAATAAGAGTTTATTTKAAATGGTAATCATTTGTGTCTATTTACAAATCTTCTTTTATTTGATTTACTAGCTACTTACTATAAAACAATAATCCAAAATAATAATACTAAAGTATAATTTATTTTTTTAAACTTATTTCGTCATATGTTAGAAGTTGCTAAGTTTATTTTAAAATATTTGGTAAATAATAATATGCATTCATATTATAATGAATTATCTTAACATTATCTATAACGAGCTATTAAAAATGTTATAACTTCTTTAAATCTTCAGATATTAGTATATGAGTACAATTTAAAACAAATATAAAACCCACCCTAACAAAAAACTAATCTTAATATCCTTATAACAATAAATAATTAGGGAAGTATATAATTAAAAATAATATTATTATTTTCAACTAATACTAATGAGCCACGTAACACATTTAAATAAAAAATATTATGCATAAAAAATAATATTATTGTATAATGATCAAAAAAAATAATAATAATACTTTTATTGTAATGATTTTCAAGGTCTTGGAAATTATAATTCTACTAAAATAYAAAACAGGTATAGCGTATAGACTCAAATAAATATATTTTTTAAAGCAAGGTCGCATCTAAAATAAAATGTAACCACATTTTATACTAGTTTGTCAACATTATCTTGTTTTGTAAACTAATCAGTAATCATCTGCATAAAATTTCTATATTTTCCTTTTTCAACTAATAAAACATAAGAAAAATATTTATTTTTTTAATTTAAAAAGTAGAAATCTATACATGTACAGTGTAAGGGTTTTAAAATAGAAATCTATAATATATTATACAATATGTAACATCCATTGCACTGGTTGGTTAAATTTTGAAATTCCCGATATTTTTCGAAAGCACTAGGAAAAAAAAAGAAAATTTAAGGTAAAAAAGGAATTTCATGCAAAATAAATTTTTGAGAAAATCGATTTTAAATATTGGTGTAACTCAAAAACAAATTAACGTAGATAAATGACATTTTCACTGAATATTATTGGCATTTTCTATACTTGATCATATTTTAAAATATTTTAATTATTTTCAAGTTATTTATTTACATTTGAAATTTTCGGTTTTTTTAGATTTTTAATCTTTAAATGTCAATAAAATTGTATTCATTGGGTAAAAAAACTTGAAAATTGAACAAGGTCCCCATAAGTTTGTTTAATAGCAGTTGGAAAATATTAAAAATACATAGGCAGGTTTTTTTTCTTGATAACCATTTAAGATCAAATTTTGCCAACAATTTTTTTTATCATATACTATTATATACAAAATCTGTAAATATTGTTTTATTATAAGCGTATGTAATGGAGGTGACATGGCTTGAGTGTCAGGAGATAAGAAGCCGCCCATTGGAGGCACTTAAGGTTAGGATGTTAGGCTAGGATTTTAATGTGCTAGTAAGAGAGAGTATTCAAGATTGAAGGAAGGTATATACAATTTTAGATGAGTAGGTCTTGACACCAGGTACGTTTAATACGCCTTCTGGGGTCACCAAAAATAGCGTTGGTGGATAGCTCGAAAATCAGGGGATTACGATGGCTGTGGAACTTGGAGTGTGTGCGTTTGTAGAAAGTTTTTGCGACGTTTTGGGCTGTTGATAGGTCTCTATGTAGAGTGTCGTTAGATACATAGTTGGATTTTGTTTAATTTGGACTTTTTGGCTGCACCCCTTGACTACATTTATTTATTGAAAATTTACAAATTCTTTGATTATTAAAAATGTATAAAACGTTTAACTTTTATAACTAAGAATTGAAAATTAAAAACAAAATTCCATGTAGATAGTTAGATTTCTGCAAAAAAAAAATCTAAAAAACTATAGGTACAAAAACAGTTTCTTTTTATAGTTATTTTAAATTCAAATTTAGATGAAATTACATACTAAATAATCAAGAATAACAATTTTATTTATATTGTTGAAATTTAAAAATATTATTCATATGGGTACCGAAAATTTCTAGAGTATACTTTATAAACTAATATTAATAGTTAATGTCGTATGCTATAATGACTTATATTAATACTTTATAATAAATTTTAAATACCTTTTATGAACGACCGAGTGAGTCGGGTACTTAATTAATCTAATTTGATTAAGTTGAAATTTATTTTAAAGGTACCTACATTTTTTATTTTATTTTTTTTTTTTTGTAATAATAGCAATATATTATAAAATTAATATATTAATATGCTTCAATCTAATTAAATATAATGAATCAATTATAATTCAAAGTAATATAGAGATATTCATTATTGTGTTTAGAAAGATTAATAAAAACTACCTATAATATTAATTAGTTATACTAAACAATAGATTTTATGTTTTTACTTTTTAAATTTAATTTTGAGAGGTTAGTAGAGAGTTAATCTAAGAACGTACTTACATAATTTCAAGTATTTTCCTTAGTCAATTTTAATTGTTATAATTTTTTTTCTAATTGATGTTTTGAACAAAGATTCTGCATTGAGAAATTGACCATTAGCGCTGAGTGCTTATTTTTTTTATCGAAGAGTCAAATTCAATTTATTTAAATAATTTTTCATTTAAAACATTTTCTATAAAGCTACTATTTTAACTTTTTTTTTTTTTAAACTWAAGTTATGTGATTTTTTTATACGTGTATAAATTCTTAACCTTTGTAGATTAAAGGAAGAAGAAAATTTGTAAAAGATTTAACCTTGCTCAGATTATTTGTGATTAATTATTTATGTTACTACGAAGAATTTTTATTTGCTAAGTTCATACAATGTCAACTGTGTGTAGTATATATATATTTACTATATAGCAAGAGTTATTAAGATAGACTTTTCATCAATGTATAGTGTGATGTACCTATATATATATATACCAAGAATTTTATTAAATTAATTTATTTTACATAYAACTATTATACAAGTAGATCCGTATRATCATTAAATTAAATTGTTTTGATGTTTCTATTTTTGTGTCTGTCGTCAACTTTTAAAGCAGTTAAACGTACGGAGATTGCTTCAACTACAAGATTTTTTCTGGTACCAAAGTATATCTAGTCGTTAGTTTAAGGAGTCAAAAGTAAAATATTACACACTACTTTTCTTAATGAATTGGAAAACCAAAAATTTTTTGGAAAAACAAGAATTTTTACAGAATCGAATTGGTTATTTTATTGTAATTCAACAACTAATAAAGTAATAACCGTAGATGCTTGGAAACAGTAGCGTGTTGACCGTGATTTTGAAGGGCAGTTGTCCGACAATTTTATAGGATATATATATATTTAATATCCAAGTTGCATGAACTTAATATTAATAATTATGTACAGCTATACATATAGTAATTAATACTTCATTTAAAGCATTCAAAATAAAATCAACATGCKACATGGGTAAAAGGATAATGCATTAATGAGTAAAAGTCAAAAGATTTTAGGTCATTAAAAAAACTAGAAATTTTTCATCAGTATGATAAAATGTTACCTCTTTGAATTCTTAAGTACAATATAACAACAATAATCATACAAACAAAAGTAAAACAAATAATGATAAAATCATGTTAAAAAATTGAACATGCGAATATTTACTACCAATAAAAGGATTCAAAAATTTAGTGATATGCACTCATTTTTACTTCAATCAACTGTATAATGTGTGAAAACCTTAGTGATATATTATTAGATATTTAAAATTTTATCGACTATATTAACGTACGTTGGCTATAATAGTTATGTTAAAATAATAAAAATATACCTTTGAAATGAATAAAGAGCACCTGATCAAGATATTCACACTAATTACTAAAGTATAAGTTTAATAGATATTGATGCCTGCTATTAAATTARAATATAGTAAAAAAATTATTTATACAACTAAATTTATATTATTTATGTTATATTTGTTCGAATGGAAATTCCGTTAGTCTATATTTGTTATTATTTAATAATGTTAWACACACGTCATTAAAAAAATTACTGTTGTAATCTTTAGATATTTGATTTTTTTTTTAAAGTTTTACCGAAATCGTTTATTTAAAATTTTGGAGATGATATTTGTCACAGAGTTGTGCACAGAGTTGAAATTTTGAAGAATACATTTAATGGTAGACGATGTTATTATGATGACGTTACATTGACGTAGGTAAATAAGAAATTTCCCAAAGAGCTTATTATACTAATAACTAAACATATTTCTAGACTATTATTATAACCAGCCTTAGGTAATTTATTCGTGTTCCGAGAAAAACTGCCGGCAGTTTTATGATGGATTCAGCACTTGGACCACTAAAACTAAATGTAAACACGCATTACTGACTGACCCGTTCGATAATTTAACAATAATATTTATGCATATCAAGTAGGCGGTAATCAAGGAAATAAGTACCTACAACCAACTGGCGGGTCGGGCAATGGGGAAATGAGTTTAAGAGGTACGTACTATGACGACAATCACGCGTCATTAGAAGGTCGTCGGGCATGAATTATTATGCTATAATACTACACTTTGTCTTATTAGTTTGGTAAGCACGAAAAAAAACAACACACGATTGATGCCAATGATTGTTGCTTATAAAAGCCGGTCTGAAACGTCGTATATTCAGTACACAATTGCACGCCATCATGGATTCACGAATTGCAGTAGTCTGTGTTGTTTTGACGGTGTTCGCGGTGGACCGGACGGTCGGAGCGCCTCAAAAAGATGCCGCAGTTGTGAATGGTCCCGCATATACCACCAAATACGACAATATTGATATCGACCAAGTTCTGGGATCCAAACGATTAGTAAACAGCTACGTCCAATGTCTGTTGGACAAGAAACCGTGCACTCCAGAGGGAGCTGAACTTAGAAGTATGTATACTTACTGCATTTGTATATATAATCGAAGAAGATAATACTATACATTATGTAACATTGTGGAAAAAAAAATATTGTGAAATAGATATTGATTTAGCATCCACTTACTCTGGTAGTCAGTCATACTGGATTATTTATTGAATCTGATCAAATCTATTAGAATATAAGTAAATCTACTTATTATTATTATTATTATTTTTTTTAAATTTAAATTGTTCCTAAAAGGGTCATCTAACTTGATGATATTAATTACAGTACTGTTTTATATGTTTCTAGTAGCTCTAAAAATCACCTACTTTTATAATATAAACGAATATCTACTTTTTGTTTAATTTATATTAACCAATAAATGGTAATCGTGCTATAATAACCTGAATTTCAAAAAAATGAAGTCAAAAAATACCTTATRACTAACCTAACCTTAAAATATCATGTTTATTTAATATCAATATTCTGAAAATAACAATTTAAATCAGGCCCCTAATAGAAAAATAAACAACGTTACTAGTACGTACACATACAAGATACTGTTACTTTTAAATTTTAATTCAATGTTGTTTTATACATGAAACATTATTTTACAGTGTTATTTTATTGATTTTATAGAACATAACCTAATGTGTTGGTAATAAAATAAAATGCAATCACTAATCTTAAATATTTTTGCTTCACAGAAATTTTACCCGATGCCTTAAAAACACAATGTACGAAATGCAATACCACACAAAAAAATGCTGCTCTTAAAGTAGTTGACCGACTCCAAAGAGATTATGACAAAGAGTGGAAAATGCTTCTTGACAAATGGGACCCTAAACGTGAATATTTCCAGAAATTCCAACAATATTTGGCAGAAGAGAAGAAAAAAGGTGTCGTTAAATTTTAAATACAAATATAAGTTTACCAATAATTAGTAGTTAATAACAATTTAGTTTATCTTAATACATATAACATAGATTATTTATTTTAAACATTAGAATGCAGTACCTACATGCAATATGTATCAAATGTATACAGAAATAATAAAAATATCATAACTTATTTATGTACCTATATGTTGTTTTTTTTTTTTTTTTTTGAGATAAAGGTAATAATAAATATTTTGGATTAGGTTTTTATCATGATGTATTTATTTTGTATTCGTCTAAAACATAAAAATGAAGAATAATAATATATACTCAATTAACATACAATTTTGTATTTAATTTGAAATAAAAGCAGTCATTTTAATTAAGATTAATCATTTCGTATTCTATAAAATCTTACGAGTGTTAAAAAAAATTCACAGATCGGTGTCATATTATTATCCTTATAATGTAATAATAACATTATTACGCACTAAAATATTGTTTAAAAATGATAGTAATAAATTTAATAAGTACTAATAATAATTATTATTGTATTAAAATTGAACATTCATATTGATAACTCAATATAATTCGTTAGCCTATAACAATTATTACTATTACCATGATCTAAACGAGATAATTTATATAGACAATTTAACTCGCATAAGTATAATAAAAAAAAATTTCGAACATGCCTTAACTTTCATTTCAACTATAAATTAGCCGAATACCCATACCGATCATATTATTCACATATATTTCTAGTAAATGAATCGAAAAATTCAAGAATTATTTACATTATTTTTGTATAATTGTTAAGTTGTGCTTAATACAATATAGAGGTGTTATACTAAAAGGGTAACAAAAAATAACTGCAGTTTTTTTCAATGGTAAATGTCTCAAGAATTATATAATTTCAATATAAATGTTCTACCCAAGAAAAATTACTAAAAAATGTTTACACATTATGATATTGTTTTTATGAGTAATATTAAATTATGCCTACTAAGTATACTATCGAACTCGGATTGAAAGCTGTAGTCCTCGTTAAGAATGTTGATTTGTCTTGTACGACAATCTCGGGAGTACAATATTTTATGAAACAAGGAAAATGTTGTACCCTGTTATGTTAATTTTATCGGTCATACATAATATTATATTGTATATCTAAAATATTTATTAGTTTTAATTAAATATAATATTGTAATATGTATTATACTATATTTTGAAGAAACATACTAAATTTGTTCATCAGAAATTTGTGCGAAATGTGTGCACCTTAATTCAAGTCTAGGAAATTGTGTGTTCCGTAATATTGTACATTTTAAATTTATTTTATATGTCACATTCACAATACTAAAAAAAAATATATATATATATAATAATAAACTCATAAGGGTAAATTGGCACAGTTAAAAGCTTCTTATATGACATCAAAATAAAATAAATAAAAAAACTAATATAAGAATGACAGAGGTAATCATATTAATGAACTAAACTTATACAGTCTTTTTTTAGACTAGAAATGATTATGTAGTAAATTATATTTTACTATTACATTGTTTGTACGAAATCATAGAAAGGAAGTAGGTATGACAATTACAAAAATTAAAGATTCTACTAAAACATTTAAATTGAGTTAATACCATCGGTGTATCGAATTAAAATTGTATTGAATACCGAGTATTGCGTATATTAGTCTTAAATAATTATTATATGCAATTATATGGCATTAATTTTTGTAGGTAACACAATTTCGTTTTAATATAAACTTATTTATAACATATGACATAAATCATTATTGTTTTATATTTACACATAATAATTTATTAAACATTGCGTACTTTAAGAGAAAAGAATTTGTGTTGTGTAAGTTTAATATAAAAACAATTGGGTACTTCGATTTAAGTACCCACATGACAAACACAAGATAGTGATGATACAAAATTATAATAACTACTATTTTTAAGATACAAAAAAATGTATTGTTGCGAATGAAATAAAATTTTAATTATTATGTATAAAACATTTATTTCCTTAACAATKAATACCTAATTTATTTTTACATCGCGGTTTTAAATAMAAAGTTTTCCTTATTCTACCTGTATAATATGTTAATCTACGAACATGTTATCAATTCTGGTCCCAAATACATGGGTCCAAACGCAGGCTTGAACACCAAATACGAATTATTATCGCTGAAAATATGAAAAATAATACCTAGATAAATTATTATTGTATTGTAATTATTTTTACATTTTGGAGTAAGAAATATCAAAGCTTGAGAAACATTTATTAATAGCATAAATTAATAGACAGTATTAATTTCACCAACTCRCATGGAACAAAATACAATCGCTAAAAGAACTAAACCAATATAACAAAATAAATATAAACGACGAAAACAGTAGGTAATGAATTAATTAAGAACCCAAAGGAAGTTTTAAACCAATTAGGAAAATTTTTTTATTCCAACAGTATTGAAACATTTGTGTGACTCATGTTTTATTAAACTTGCACAGTCTAAATCTTTATTTTTAATATTTTCTTCGTTTATGAAGATCAAATCTTAAATAATTTTAAGAAAACCAAAAATTTGAGATATCATACTAAAAAAAAAAATGCAAAAGTCTAGGACCAGATGAAATTTCGTTAAATTTCATACATCGTTTTGAACCAAATAGTAAAATTGTACTGTTTAAAATATTTTACGTAAATTGGAACGTCCTGATAAACTGAAAAAAAGACAAAACTATTAATAATCCAGGTCAAAGTAAATTCAGGATTGATGAATATGGATCAATCACATTATTAAACAAGCCTTATGTTAGGTTTCAGAAATTATAGTTTTCCATGTAGGGCCTATTTTGTTTTTGGATAAAACCAACTATCTGACGAAAAGCCCATTAAACGTATGACAAATTCAGTACAATAAAAGTAAAATATTATCAATCATTTAAAAACAAACAATTAGTAAGCCTAGTGTCAGTCTAGATATTATAAAAGCTAACGACGTTATATGGAGACACTACATATTATATTCAAAGTCAACAAGGTCAAGGTTCGTGTAAAATCTTAAATTCCTTAAATATTAGATCATTTAGAAATTCAAATATCGAACCTATGCTCGAAAAGACTTGTTTCACTCAAGAAAATAACGATGTAAGAACTATAAGGGTTAGCATTATCTTTTACTATAAGCGTAATAGCATATAACTTAAAACAATATATAAGCATGTAACTATTATTTACTATATTTTTAGTGGAAATGTATATAATAAATAATATAAATTCCCGATAAAATCAATTCAACGACGCTAACTTCTTGTGTAGAAGTAAAAATATCAAAAATGAAAATACTTTTAGTAAAACGGCCAGCAACATTGGTTATAGCCTAAAATCCGAACTGCATAACTTATACGAATGAACCAGAACCAAACTTAGAGAATTTGAAGTTTTTAAGTATAGATTTAAAAAAAAAATCAAAAATTAACCTGGTAAAAAAGGAATGAGAATTTTGGGAATCACATTTGATTCTAGTCACGAATTTGCTACAAATATTGAAATCTCTTAAGATAGGTATCTACTAATATAATTCTTAGATTATTTAAAATGTTATCTCACGCATTACTATGGGTGCATTCAAAAATCAAAGGTATTTATAGCATAGCAGATAAACCAACCTCCGATTTGAAAAGAACTGAGTTAGCAATACAATATGCTGCAAAAACTAATTTATGTCTCATAAATACATTTCACATTATATCACATAACTTATTGTTATTAATTGTTCAAATTGAATATACTATTTAAATAAACGTTGAAACTAAAAATATAAAATTGGTCGACATGAAATACGTGATATACGTAAGTACCTGAAAAATTGTCCAAATTTATTTTTCATATATTGCTCTGTTTGCGTTTGGTTGGGGTTTGTTGGCCACTGTTTGGAGCATTACCGGTTGCTCCATTTTCGAGTTTGGCTAATTTTTTGTACTGCGACGAGTTAATAAATCTTGGATAAGAATCCCTATGCATAAGCGTGTAAATTTGTAGCTGAGCTTCATCGAACATATGAGATGATGGTTGATTGATGTTCTTATTGACGATATCACGAACACGAGAGTCTAAACTCACCTAATTACAACAAATAATACATTTTGTAAATACAACTAAAATTAAAATTGGTACTTACATATTATCTATACYGAATCATCTGTATTTATTGAGAATTTACCTTTCACTGGATATGTATACTTCTACTATCAAAAATTCTTACCAGAAACATAAAATACATTTTGTAAATAAAAGACTCAGTAACATAAATAATTACCTAATAAAATAACGGGTATACAAATAACATCAAAGTTATTATTGTATAACATAATTCTTATCAAGATAATAATAATTATCATTTATAATGGTTTGTAGATAAGACATTTTTTATGTATCTCCTAAATCATAATAATTGAATTAAAATTATTTAAAATTGATTTTATTTCGATATTACATTAAGACTAAGTAAGTTATTTTACAATATAGGTATATTGTTGTTAACCCTATAARTTAATATAGGGTTATTAATTACACTAATTATTATATATTTATATTTATCTAAAAAAAAAGACATTCCTTGTTCAAAAAATACTAGAAATACACCGTGGGCAATTATATGTATCGTATTAGTTCAGTAAATTCTCAATGTAAATACCTCAAAATGTAAACAAACATTAGCTCTTGTCTATTGTAATACTACTACAATTACAAATACAGGCAAGTACCTCTAAAAATACAGTAATATAAACACTTACTTCTTTAGGAGATAGTATCGAAATGTAATCTTCGTAAATAAACCGAGCTTTTTCTTCTATTATATCAGGATTCGTTTCTTTTTTTAACTCTTCTACTGCCATCCAGAACAATATGTTCTCTTCACTGTATTCGCATCGTAAGAAATCACGAAATATTTTTTTTCCCGCTGCGTAAATAACAACAATAAAAATAATGATAATTGTTATTTTACACTATTTTAGCACAATAATAGTATAATAATATATTCGATACTGGTGTATGTGTATATATGCATATAGGTAGGTATGCATAAAAACACTAAGCACAAATTAATATAGGTAATATATTTGGTTTAATTACCAGGACACTTTAGAAGTCGGTCAAATGATTTACTCCAACTTCGTATTTCGTCCAACGGAGGCCTGTAAAAATAATAATAATTACAAATTGTTAAAATAGCTGATAGTATGAAATTAAAAATAGAAAATATCACATAAAAGGAGAAAAATGTCTTGAAGCGTCTTAGTTTGGTAAAAATATATGAGACTCTTCATTATATTATGTGATAATATGTATTGTAAATAATTTAAATTGATTATAAGCCAATTACATATGTCTGTTATATTTTTAGTAGAATTAAATGATTGGAGAACCAGTAAAATTATTAAATCAAAGAAAATTAGTCTACTCTAGACTTCTGGCCCCATTGCGCAGAGAATTATTTGAGACCTTTAAATCCCATTTATTTAGAAAGAATTTATGTTCTTGGTAAAAAAAAAAAAACTAACACAAAGTAATTCTAATATTTCTTAAAAAACAAAATTGAATAATCGTGTCTATAATTGACAATAAAAGTAAATCAATTTTACAATAGCATATAATCGTTTAATGTAGAAATTAACACATGTAAGCTAATAACCTATGTAGTTGATGCTTAACCAATAAAAAAAAAAAAAAAAAGTAAATCACATCAATGAAAATATAAATCTGCTACTAACTTTTGTGACTAATATCTGCTATAAAATATTATTTTAGATAACTGTATATGTACATACATTTACATAATTTTACCTTAGCTCTACGGGATTTTCAATTATGCCGCCGCTAGACCCGTTTCCGTTTGTTTTGGGGGGATGGCCTTTTAATGGGAAACTGAAAGAATACATAAATATTGTTAACTTCAAATATTATATTTCCATTTTTAAGTTTATTGAAAACATTCGATATTATTCTACAACTTTTAACTCTATTATGACTTTATTATCAATTTATTATTTACGTCCAAATTAATAAGTGTAGTGTATTAATACATATTACATAATAATATCTTTGTAAATATATATTGCACACCAAACTGTGTAATTTTCAAATTGGTTTGGAATGTTTAATTTGAACTGTTATTATAAGTTGTATACACAAATCTTTAGTTCTAAATATTATATATTATTGGAACATGTACGTATAAAATATATCGTAGAAGTACAATTATTAGAAAGAAAGACTTGTATTGGACAAGCAGTAAAAATCTTTTTAGATTTAATAATATATTAATACAGCACATAATCACAAATGTACCATAATAGTTTCGGTATTTTTATATACATTTTTATTTATTATTTTAGATATTATTAAATAATAATTTGACAAATTTTATTTTTATCTATACATCATACTTACCAAAAACGATCCCTGTATGCATGAAAATTCAAAATAAAAAGCAACAAACCGTATGTTAGAGATAAGTAAAAGAATCATTTTATTATTAAGTGTAGATATCTCAAAAATATTATTTTTTACAAAATATGGATGAATGAATAATTTTCTCCTGATATATAGTGCCTATGTATGATATAAATTATAATAAATGTAAASATAATGGGAATAACCTTCTCAAATGTTTTTACATTTATTTTTGAAGTAATAACCGTCAAAATTAATTTTTACAGAAATGTGTATATTTTATTATGAAATCAAATCTTATATATTATAGTTAGGTTTGATTACACTGTTAAATTGTGTTAAATTGTTAATTATAAGAAACGGAATTTGCATATTGATATTCGATGTTATTTCTAATTTTTTTAATGCTATTAAATTTTTTAGTTTTAAATTATTAACACATATGCTCGTATTGTAATATTCTATAAAAAAAATTAATTTTCAATCAGTGATTAAATAATGATTATCGTATTTAAATAAATTTAAAATCTAGCACTTTCTCATATTAAATAATTTAGAATTTTGCAATAGAATTTGATAAGTTATTTAACTTTCCACGGATGATGATTTATTCTATTGGTGTTTAAATGCCGATGTATATGCATGCTAATGAGCAATGGTCAAGGTTAAGAGGACGTGATACCCACATAATATGTTGTCTCCGTCTTACAAGTGCGTAACATTACAAAAACTGTTTAGCGCAGTATACAATCACTCAGTCTGTTCTCTTGGTAGAAACACCAAAAGCTAACACAACATAAAAGATAATATTTTCTRTATCGTAGCATTTTTATTTGTTTGATATCTTTCATGAGAAAAAAGTTATAATATTTTTAAAAATYTGATTTTTTTAAATTTTTCAAATTTCAATAACTTTCGATATATTGGTGTTATCGAAAAAATATAAAAGCTGTGACATAGTTAAAATTCTCTGTTTTTCATGGTGAAAATTTGGTTTCTTAGTTTCAACTGTAGACTTCTCAATTATTTCCCGCGCCAAACAGTTTTTGCTTTTTTACGTACTTGTAAGACGGAGATAACAAATGCGGGTATAACGTCCTCTTAAGATTTTCAGAGTTTGTTACATAATTTTCGTTATGGAGATTAATTTTTTCATTGAGATTTACAGTTAAATTTTTTAATGATCTATTATAAATTTTTATAATTTTTATAATTTTTGCGTGGTAAAATAGTATAAATTATTGATAAAATTACTATTGAATATATCAATTATGATTTTATAGCCGATATTTTTTTATTATCTTAAAAAATACCTGTACCTTCCTAAATAAGGTATACAAGCTATTAAAATAACACATTTTATAGTTTATGTTAATTATRAATTTTATCAATGATACATAAAAATTAGGTACCAACACTTTTGATTAGTTGTGCGTTTGTGTAAGAACTATAAAGACCATGTTAAAAATGTAATTCTCTATTATTCTTGTAAATTGTAAATTGTCTGAAATTTCTTAGAAATATCATACACAAAATTTTAGATAATAAACACAC